GGGTCAATAGGGGGCCCCATGAGATGCCCCTGGTACCTTTTTCATAGGCTTTTTTGAGTTTGGGCAAGGATACAGGGGTCCCATGATCTCCTATTGCCCGGGGGCCCCATGAGTTGCCAGTCCGCCCCTGGTCGTGAGGTCACCCCTTGTTTCTGCCCCTACCAACCTCGCCCCTTAGTTCCACCACCTCCCAGTACAGCCCTTTCAGAGAATACATACCCAAGTATTATTCTGTGCATTTGTATGGAATTTGTTGTTGACAACGAGAAAAGTAATAAAATAGATCCCCTGCAGTCAGCAACAGTAGACCCCCTAGCAACAAAATATTCCTCTCCTAGTAACAATAGATCCAACCCAGCAACAATATATCTCTCAGCAGCCAGCAACAGTTGACTTCTCCCTCAACAATAGATACCTACCAGCAGCAAATGACCCTCCCAGCAACAATAGATCCCTCACTAGCAACAGTAGACATCCATGCTACAATAGGTTCCCCAGAAGCCAGCAACAATAGACCCTCCAGAACACCCCATCACTCCTTGACATTAAATACATTCAGTGTTGGAGGCCCCCGCGTTGCTGCTGAAAAAAAGCCCTGTGTTTAGGACATACACTGACAGATGCTGGAGACAATTTGTTTCTATGTTTAAATACAACACTGGAGGTATTTTCAGCTGGCATGAAGCACAGCCAGCAGTGTAAGCAATATCAGGAAGCTGGTCCAGTGCAATGATATGCACCCAACACTGACAACAGTGCATTTAGACAGGGAGTAGCTGAAAGAAGCTAGAGGAGATCAGCAGCACTGGGACAGAATAGAAAAAGGTGTAAACAATAGTTTAGGGGCAGCACAGTGGCTAAATGGTTATCACTTCCCCCTGGCAGTACTAGGGTCATCGGTTCAAATCCCAACCACGACACCACCCACCTGGAGTTTGCATGTTCTCCCTGTGCCTGTGTGGGTTTTCTCCAGATACTCCAGTTTGCTCCCACACTCCAAAGACATGCTGGTAGCTTAATTGGCACCTGTCTAAATGAGCCTAGTACATAAATGTAGATTAGGAACCTTAGATTGTACACCCCTTGAGGGTTAGGGACAGATGTGAATGTACAATTTACAGGTGTACCTCGGTTTAAAATTCGTTCTGCAGGACTTTTCGTATTGCGAAAAATTTGTAAACCAAAACTCGGTTTCCAATAGGAATGCATTGAAAACTAAATAATCTGTTCCGGAGGTCAGAAAAAAGTTTTTAAAAAGCTTTTTATCTGTTCAAAACTCTTTATAACGTGCACTTTAAAGGCATAAATACTGTACAGGAACATGATTAAAAATTATTTCGTAAATACATTGAAAACCAATTAATCCGTTCCAGAGGTCAGAAAAAAGTAAAAAAAAGTATTTTCTGTTCAAAACTCTTTATAAAGTGCACTTTAACCTCCCTGGCGGTATTCCCGAGTGTAACTCGGGGTAAATTTCAGCACCACAAGCGGTAACCCCGATCTACACTCGGGAATACCTTGCAGCTCTGCTCCGGGATCCCTTCTTCACTTACCTTGTCCTGTGGTCCCGCGATGTCCCCCCTGCAGTGTCCCTGGCAATGTCCTCCGGCCGATGCTGGCATCTCTCTTCTGGGTTCGTTCCCTGCGATGTCAGGACGTACGGGAGACGGAACTGGCGGGAAATTTGAAAATGTTAAAAGTGACATTCACTAAATTCACTAAAATCACATAGTAAAACATTACTGTATCAAACCATTTCACATACATTTTGCCCCGAGTGCTTTGTCCTGTGCCCTGCCTGCATTTTTACTGTTTTTTCTGCCTGAAAACTGAGAAAAGTCCATAGCATCCAAAAAGCGTCCCTTTAGGTCAAAAGTGGTTTTAGACCAGCTAGAGAACAGCGATAGTAAATCAGAACCACTTGCAGAATTGAGTGATAATGATTCATGGGGGAAATTCATCATCAGACACTGAAAACGATTTTGTGACTTTGCTCAGTGATGTGCGAACTTGGCGCTATATTTCAAATTTCAGTGTTTTTGGTTTGATTATATTATTGAATTAAATTTATTATTATTTTCTATGATTATTTATTAAATTATAATTTATGATTTCGTGTTTCAAATTTTATATCCGGGATGTTTACTAGACTCTTGTTCGGACAGATTTCAATGAGTTATTCCTAAAAATGACAGGCCTACAATAAAAAACGAGATATTTCCATGCAAAAAAATGTACCGCTTTGAGCACAGAAATATGGACATAATCAGACCGATAGGGAGGCTACAGGCATAGTACTGTACAGGGACATGATTAAAAAAAAATTTGTAAATGCATTTAGCACCAATTAATCCGTTTGTATTGCAAAAAAATTTGTAAATCGAGCCATTATTTTCAATGGATTTTCATTTGTAAACCAAAAATTACGTTAACCGAGGTGTTCGTAAACCGAGGTACTCCTGTATATGTGCAGTGCTAAAGTGATTGTGCTATATAAGTACCTGTAATGGTAGTAATAATATTTTATTAAATAAAAACTATGGCAGTTCACAATACACTGTGCTTTAGCAATCTTAAGAGCAAAAATATAATATACTGCAACTTATCAGTTCCTAAAGGCTGAAGGTTTATTTTACCTTCGTACGTTCTAAAAATCCTTAAGTGTGCAGCCCCTCCTTATACTCACCTGAGTCTGATCCCAATCCAGTAATGTGTATGAGAGCAGAAGCTCGCCCGTGCCTCTGCCTCCTCATTGGCTGAGACACAGCAGCAGAGGCCATTGGCTCCCGCTGCTCTCAATCAGTCAGTGAGCAGTGGGGGGCTGGCCCCAGCTATGCTCTGTGTGTCTCATAGACATGCAGAGGCAACTTGAGAGCGAGCACAGACTCCCCTGCTGACTGCTCTGGGGGCAGTCAGCAGGAGGGGAAGGGCCTGCAGTGCTGGCAGGGGACCCAAGAAGAGGACGATTGGGGCTGCTCAGTGCGTTGCACAGAACAGGTAAGTATACCATGTTTGTTATTAAAAAAAAAAATCTGAACCTTTAATTTTTATGGCGCTACATGCATTTAACTGCATTTTTTCCTCATGTAAATATGCAGGTAACTGCAATGAAAAACAATAGTTATCAGTGTGTCATGTTCAGACCAGAACACGGTGTTACACTCAGTTTCAGAGCAGTGCTATATTATACAACATAGAAATAAAAATGTGAATACTGTGTTCATATATGAAAAATAATAATCATCAAAAATAAACAGTGTAACAAACAGCAGCAACAGTACTATGTGATATACAGCACAGTTCTAAACATTATATCTGTTTCTGTTGTGCTAATAAACCATGTGCTGACATCACATAAAATAAAAACCACTATATCACAAATAAATCACAGAGCGCAAATAAAGTCCACATATAAAGTCCACACATAAAGTCCAATGTGATATCAACAGTGACTTCAGAAAAATATTTGAATGAAGATCCCCCAGAACGCAGAACGCAGGATACCCTCTTCGTGCTCAGGCTAATTTCCAGCTTTTAGCGCTTTTGCACTTTGAATGACAATTGCGCAGTCATGCAACATTGTACCCATATTAAATTTTTATAATTCTTTTCACACAAATGTAGCTTTCTTTTGGTGGTATTTACTCGCCACTGGGGTTTTTATTTTTTGCACTATAACCAAAAAAAGAGCAAACAATTTGAAAAAAAAAAGGTTTTCTTTGTTTCTGTTATAAAATTTTGTAAACAGGTAATTTTTCTCCTTCACTGATGTGCGTTGATGAGGCTGCACTGATAGGCAGCACTGATGGGCATGGATAGGCAGCACTGATGGGCACAGATAGGCAGCACTGATGGGCACTGATAGGTTGCACCGATGGGCATTGATGAGGAGGCACTGATGCTGCTGCATTGATATGCAGCAATGATGGTCATTGGTAGGTGGTACTGATGGGCACTGATAGGTATTGATGGGCGATACTGATGGGGAACACTGACTGACTGCACTGACTAGCAGCACTGATTAATGGCACTGACTGGCGGCACTGCTAGGTGCAACTGCTGGGCAGCACTGATGGGTGGCACCGCTGTGGGGCACTGATAGGTGGCAGTGCTGGGCACTGGTGGGTGACACTGCTGGGAGGCACTGCAGGGCACTGATTATCAGTGCCCTGATGATCAGTGCCGATCTGCTCTGTGACAGCTGCTGGTTATCGGCAGCACTTTCCTCACACTGTGACAGCGTGAAGAAAGTGCTGCCAATAACCAGCAACTTTGTTTACTCCGTGATCTGCTCTGTTTTTATTATTATACAGTATTTATAAAGCACCAACAGTTTGCTCAGCGCTGTACATTACAATGGGAGACAGTACATGCAACAGTACAATAACAATACAATGGGATACACGAGGGGTTTGAGGGTCCTGCTCCTTGGAGCTTACAATCTAGGAGACACAACTGATCACGTGGTAAAAGGCCGCAGCGATTGGCCTTTTACCTCATCACGTAATAAACTGTGTCCATAGGACACAGTGATCATGGAGATCGCCAGGAGCGCGGGAGAGCACGTTCTCGGAGGACATCTTATGACTCCTGCCCAAAACTGAACAACTGTGCTGTAGCCATCATTTGGCTATAGCACGGTTACCAAGTGGTTAAAGTGAAGTTGAATGTCTTCCTAGAAAAACACCAAGGTGATCTCACCACCTAAAAACTGTAATGTGCTTACCAGACCATCTTGACTCTCTGACCAGAGAAGTCATAACACACATGAAGGTACCACAGACTCAACTGGACTTCCATTAACTCCTCATAAGCGGACCATCCAGTAAGATAAACGGCCCAATAAACCTCTTGTTTTATACACACACATATATATATATATTTACACACACACACACACACACACACTATATTGCCAAAAATATTGGGACACCTCTCCATATCATTGGATTCAGGTGTTCCAATCACCTCCATGGCCACAGGTGTATAAAATCAAGCACCTAGGCATGCAGACTGCTTCTATAAACATTAGATCACTCTCAGGAGCTCAGTGAATTCAAGTGTGGTACTGTGATAGGTTGTCACCTGTGCAATAAGTCCATCCGTGAAATTTCCTTGCTACTAAATATTCCACAGTCAACTGTTAGTGGTATTATAACAAAGTGGAAGCAACTGGGAACAACAGCAACTCAGCCACTAAGTAGTAGGCCATGTAAAATACCAGAGCGGGGTCAGCACATAATGAAGCGCACAGTGCACTGAGGTTGCCAACTGTCTGCAGAATCAATAGCTAAAGGCCTCCAAACTTCGTGTAGCCTTCAGATTAGCACAACAACAGTGCGTAGAGAGCTTCATGGAATGGGTTTCCATGGCCGAGCAGCTGCACCCAAGCCTTACATCACCAAGTGCAATGCAAAGTGTCGGATGCAATGGAGTAAAGCACGCCGCCACTGGACTCTAGAGCAGTGGAAACGTGTTCTCTGGAGTGACGAATCACGCTTCTCTGTCTGGCAATTTGAGGGATGTGTCTGAGTTTGGCGGTTGCCAGAAGAATGGTACTTGCCTGTCTGCATTGTGCCAAGTGTAAAGTTTGATGGAGGGGCGATTATGGTGTGGGGTTGTTTTTCAGGGCTGGGCTTTTGCCCCCTTAGTTCCAGTGAAAGGAACTCTTAAGGCGTCAGCATACCAAGTTATTTTGGACAATTTCATGCTCCCAACTTTGTGGGAACAGTTAGGGATGTCCCCTTCCTGACTGCACACCAGTGCACAAAGCAAGGTTCCATAAAGACATGGATGAGTGAGTCTGGGGTGGAGGAACTTGGCTGGTCTGAACAGAGTCCTGACCTCAACCCAATAGAATATCTTTGGGATGAATTAGAGCACAGACTGCGAGCCAGGCCATCTTGTCTGACATCAGTGCCTGACCTCACAAAAAAGCTTCTGGAAGAATGGTCAAACGTTCCCATAGACACTCCTAAACTTTGCGGACAGCCTTCCCAGAAGAGTTGAAGCGGTTATAGCTGCAAACGGTGGGCCAGCTCAATATTTAACCCTACGGACTGGGATGCCATTAAAGTTCATGTGCGTGTAAAGGCCAGCGTCCCAATACTTTTGGCAATATAGTGTATATCTCTCCGTGGGAAGTCAAAGAAAAGAAAAGGGACTCTGCATAGTGTCAATCCATTAAAAAACAGGCTTCTTTAATAAAAACTATTGCACTGACATGATAACATCTTGATGGAAAGATAACATATTGTGGACTAAATAAATTAATAAAAAAAACTAAAAAATCCACCCTTTTCCCTGAAAGGACTTCCCCAGAGGTTATCATAATCACTACATTTGAACCAGGAGCAATTAATTCTAGGCAGAGAAAAACTACATACATATTATGCTCCTTATACAAAAATTAATAAAAAAAATTCCAAACATATAAAAATAATATATATAAAAGATGTTACCCGAATATGGGTGAATAAACCCCCATTTTTTTCTAAAATCAGGTATAAAAAACTAATAATATGGGATACTAACAAATGTGTTACGCATTATTAATAAACATGTTCACATCCCAATCAATGTTCAAACCATATGGAGAATAGGATTTAACACTAAATATCCATTTGGTTTCCAATTTAGAAATTTCTCATGTTAGGGCCTCCCCTCTCTAATGGGGAGTATATTTATCTATACCAAGGAAAATCGCACCAGATGAGTCCTTATTATGGACCTCCGCATAGTGTCCAGAGATGTTTATGTTCTCCCCCTTTTAATGTTCCCAACATGTTCTCCTAAACGGACACTAAGAGATCTAGCAGTATGGCCAATTTATTGTAAACAGCATTTACACGGCAACATATATACTGCCCCTTTAGTAGCACAGGTGATAAAAGATGTAATAGGGAAACATTTAGGTTTAGATATAAATGAGTTGACCCTTCTAGTCATACAACCATTAAGGGTGCAAATAGAGCACCTCTGACATTGATGGAAACCTATTAAATTGTGAAAAAAAGACTGAACGTGTTTATTAATAATGAGTAACACATTCAGTAGTATCTCATATTATTAGCTTTTTATAAGTGCTTTTAGGAAAAATGGTGGGACATTTTAATCACCCCTATTCGGGTAACATCTGTTTTAATACATTTTTTGTACAGTGTATGTTTGGAATTATTTAATTGATTCTTGTATAAGGAGTATAACGTGTACATTTTTTCACTGCCTAGAATCAACTGCTCCTGGTTCAAATGTAGTGATTATGATAACTTCTGGGGGGAGTCCTTTCATCTAACTCACAGGTGTCAAAAAGAAGGCCTGCAGGCCGAATCCAGCCCTCCAGACAATTTCATGTGGCCCTTGCACCTCTCCTGCAGGTACCCCCCTTGTCTCCGCCCAAACCTTGTCTCAGCAGTCGGCAGCAGAGTGGAAAATAGAACCCCACTGCCAAATCCTGCACCTCTCAGTGCAGCTGCAGCACCCCCTCACCTCTACCTCCCCTGGTCTTGGCATTCAGCAGACTCTGGTAACTGACTCCACTCCTCCTCTGGTCCTCCTCCAGACCCTGCACTTTCTGCTTTCCAGCTCTGCCCCCAAAGGGGGTGCACAGTGATGTCAGGGAGGGCATGGGATTATTGACATATGATGTAAGGGGGGGGGGTGCTTTGGACATCTAGTCTTACAGATACAAGCGGCCTTTTGAGGGCAACCATAATGCTGATACGGTCCAACTGTCTGCAGAATCAATAGCTAAAGGCCTCCAAACTTCGTGTAGCCTTCAGATTAGCACAACAACAGTGCGTAGAGAGCTTCATGGAATGGGTTTCCATGGCCGAGCAGCTGCACCCAAGCCTTACATCACCAAGTGCAATGCAAAGTGTCGGATGCAATGGAGTAAAGCACGCCCGCCACTGGACTCTAGAGCAGTGGAAACGTGTTCTCTGGAGTGACGAATCACGCTTCTCTGTCTGGCAATTCGAGGGATGTGTCTGAGTTTGGCGGTTGCCAGAAGAATGGTACTTGCCTGTCTGCATTGTGCCAAGTGTAAAGTTTGATGGAGGGGCGATTATGGTGTGGGGTTGTTTTTCAGGGCTGGGCTTGCTCCCTTAGTTCCAGTGAAAGGAACTCTTAAGGCGTCAGCATACCAAGTTATTTTGGACAATTTCATGCTCCCAACTTTGTGGGAACAGTTAGGGATGTCCCCTTCCTGACTGCACACCAGTGCACAAAGCAAGGTTCCATAAAGACATGGATGAGTGAGTCTGGGGTGGAGGAACTTGGCTGGTCTGAACAGAGTCCTGACCTCAACCCAATAGAATATCTTTGGGATGAATTAGAGCACAGACTGCGAGCCAGGCCATCTTGTCTGACATCAGTGCCTGACCTCACAAAAAAGCTTCTGGAAGAATGGTCAAACGTTCCCATAGACACTCCTAAACTTTGCGGACAGCCTTCCCAGAAGAGTTGAAGCGGTTATAGCTGCAAACGGTGGGCCAGCTCAATATTTAACCCTACGGACTGGGATGCCATTAAAGTTCATGTGCGTGTAAAGGCCAGCGTCCCAATACTTTTGGCAATATAGTGTATATCTCTCCGTGGGAAGTCAAAGAAAAGAAAAGGGACTCTGCATAGTGTCAATCCATTAAAAACAGGCTTCTTTAATAAAAACTATTGCACTGACATGATAACATCTTGATGGAAAGATAACATATTGTGGACTAAATAAATTAATAAAAAAAACTAAAAAATCCACCCTTTTCCCTGAAAGGACTTCCCCAGAGGTTATCATAATCACTACATTTGAACCAGGAGCAATTAATTCTAGGCAGAGAAAAACTACATACATATTATGCTCCTTATACAAAAATTAATAAAAAAAATTCCAAACATATAAAAATAATATATATAAAAGATGTTACCCGAATATGGGTGAATAAACCCCCATTTTTTTCTAAAATCAGGTATAAAAAACTAATAATATGGGATACTAACAAATGTGTTACGCATTATTAATAAACATGTTCACATCCCAATCAATGTTCAAACCATATGGAGAATAGGATTTAACACTAAATATCCATTTGGTTTCCAATTTAGAAATTTCTCATGTTAGGGCCTCCCCTCTCTAATGGGGAGTATATTTATCTATACCAAGGAAAATCGCACCAGATGAGTCCTTATTATGGACCTCCGCATAGTGTCCAGAGATGTTTATGTTCTCCCCCTTTTAATGTTCCCAACATGTTCTCCTAAACGGACACTAAGAGATCTAGCAGTATGGCCAATTTATTGTAAACAGCATTTACACGGCAACATATATACTGCCCCTTTAGTAGCACAGGAGATAAAAGATGTAATAGGGAAACATTTAGGTTTAGATATAAATGAGTTGACCCTTCTAGTCATACAACCATTAAGGGGTGCAAATAGAGCACCTCTGACATTGATGGAAACCTATTAAATTGTGAAAAAAAGACTGAACGTGTTTATTAATAATGAGTAACACATTCAGTAGTATCTCATATTATTAGCTTTTTATAAGTGCTTTTAGGAAAAATGGTGGGACATTTTAATCACCCCTATTCGGGTAACATCTGTTTAATACATTTTTTGTACAGTGTATGTTTGGAATTATTTAATTGATTCTTGTATAAGGAGTATAACGTGTACATTTTTTCACTGCCTAGAATCAACTGCTCCTGGTTCAAATGTAGTGATTATGATAACTTCTGGGGGGAGTCCTTTCATCTAACTCACAGGTGTCAAAAAGAAGGCCTGCAGGCCGAATCCAGCCCTCCAGACAATTTCATGTGGCCCTTGCACCTCTCCTGCAGGTACCCCCCCTTGTCTCCGCCCAAACCTTGTCTCAGCAGTCGGCAGCAGAGTGGAAAATAGAACCCCACTGCCAAATCCTGCACCTCTCAGTGCAGCTGCAGCACACCCCCCTCACCTCTACCTCCCCTGGTCTTGGCATTCAGCAGACTCTGGTAACTGACTCCACTCCTCCTCTGGTCCTCCTCCAGACCCTGCACTTTCTGCTTTCCAGCTCTGCCCCCAAAGGGGGTGCACAGTGATGTCAGGGAGGGCATGGGATTATTGACATATGATGTAAGGGGGGGGGGTGCTTTGGACATCTAGTCTTACAGATACAAGCAGCCTTTTGAGGGCAACCATAATGCTGATACGGTCCGCGATGAAATGGAGTTTGACACCCCTGATCTAACTCCTATAAGGGAGAAGGGTGGATTTTGTGATTTTTAAATTAATTTATTTAGTCCACAATTATCTTTCCATAAAGATGGAGTTTTAATATTTCCCTATGGGGGGGGGGTACTAATAGTGGATATTTCCTTATTTTAGGTGGCTTGTCCCTATGAGTTTTAATCCTTGAGAAGTTCAGATTGAGGCATGGTTGTTATTTTCCCAAGGTGAGGCTTGGTTTTACTATATCTCTTTACAATGAGGCTTGGTTTCATGTTACTGTGTGTTTTAGCGATGGTTCATCATAACACTTCGGGGCCCTGGAAGACGTCACCTGTGATGAAATGCGTAGGGAAGAGCTACATGCTGACGTCATCGTGCATCAGG